CAATCGTTTGAAATAGAAAAAAGTACATCATCTGAGATTATTTGAAGAACACGTTTGATGAATGGAGTTCTCAACATTCTTGACATATAAAACCCTAATAACTTAAATTACAGTGTATCTCTCTAAAAAATACTGAATCTTGATAAACGTGTGTAATGCACCTCTCTGTTTTAAGATTTTATAATGTTTTTCGTACATTTGTTATTTAAAAAAGAAAATCAGATTTAACAGTAATCGAAAGAATAAACGGGAATGTAAAAGCGAAGATGTGGAAAATTCTCTTAAAAGACAGACAATAATTAACCTTCCAGTATTTCTAAAAACACTAGTACTTCCTTTACGAAGAAGAATTTAACTTTTTAATTACAATTAGAAACAACATGCACGTTTTGTAACTGGTCTCAAATTGCTAACAAGTTAACCAATTCGTTGGAAAAAAAAACAACAATAAAATCATAAGAAAAGTACGTACAGTTAGAGTCTGGACAGGCATTTTCCTGTATAGGAATTATTTTGGTGTGTTATTATACACCTGTGTGCCGTTTTGACCTCAGAGGTCGGAAATACTCTTTGTACGAATGGTCACATACAGAAAAATTGTGCAAAGTAATAAAAATAATTAAGTGCCATAAGGAATAACAGACTCTCAGATTCCAATACAAGTAACAATTACTAATATAATTATTCATTTCCTTTTAGTCACAATTGCATATTCCATTGTAAAAATACTGTTTGCTAAAATCAATAATGTTTACTTGATTATCAATTCAATATTGTTAAAATTGTAAATTCACAAATTGCCATAACAAAATAAGAACACTTGCGTGTGAATTTCCATTAAAATTGTAACCAGAAGGAGTAAAACTTGTGATTTTTTAGATATACTCATTTATATAATCTGTATAAATGAGATGATTATGATGACTGTATCTGTTTTTCTTTGAATGGTCGATTGTTTCTTCCTAAAATGGATTCAATATTATTTCCAATTTCTAGTGTTTTCAACCGCGTACAAGGAATGAATTCTTTTTAGTCCATATAATTTGTATAATTTGTACACTCAATGTCATATTTATCATTATTTTACATTTTTCGCTAAGAACCAATGTTGCCTAATTCCATGTAATTCCTTTATCATTTTATAAATAATATTCAGCCAAATGTGCCGGATTGTAATAAATGTCGGCTTTTATATTCGTCAGTGCGCCATAACGTTTTATACACGAGGAAAACAAATCAAAAGTACAATGTAATTATGTTTTTGTTTAATCATAAAGCCTGCTTTAGGCACCAGTGCCCTTTTTATTTTGTTTTTATTTATTTCGGTTAATACAGATCACTGTTGAACGATGGCATATACTATAGTCAGATAGTATAAAATAATTGATTGATGCTGTAAATATCCATGTCTACTGTATGGACCTGACTAATGTAAGCTAATGATATTCACTCAATTGGTAAAATTAAGAGTATTTACCCGGTAACCAGATATCGGTGTTATTGATTTCTGTAAAGTGAGAAAAAGTTATATCAGAAAGACTCCTGAACTATTTTATCAAATTAAGTGTTGATTGCATAACGAACTTTAAGATAGTCTAGAAGGATCTTGTAAAATCCCCATGGGCGACATTTCAGTATTTGCTAAATTCTTCATACATTGAGAATATTGTCAAAGCCATTTATGAAATGAATAACTTATTAATTGTGATGATTGACGATATCAAATGTTTAATGTGAAATATACTTTAACCCGTGACCTGCTGAACTTGTGAAATGAATCTGCCAAGCTTTGAATTTGGAATAGTTTATTTTCAGTTTAAGAGTTTTCGTAAAATACAAAAGTTAAAACACTGACAATATAGAGTATTGTCAGTCTGCATTAAAGTCCAAGCTGGACTGAATTCATAAGAATTCATAAAGAAAACTTAACAATGACAAAGTTAAATACTTGCAAATATTCCCAATTGCTAAAAAACTGTTTTTCATTCTATAAAGGATAATACCAAAATAGGCATATCTCTTCAAATTAAAACTGTTTTGCTATTTTACAGTATTTTAGTTTGTACATATACTTGTTTTAACATATGAATTAAAATTTTATAATATTTCTGAATATATTATATGCATACACTCTCGTGTTTTTGTAAGTTTACTTTATTTCTAGCACACACTGACGAATACGATGAATTCAAAGTTCTGTCCCGCTTCCTCAGAGACTAGACGTCCGTTTTCAAGTTAAAATGATATCCCTGCAGTTATTGATATCATCATGATTTCCTGGAAAACCTTTCAAAAGCAAACGAAATATTTATTCCGGTAATGTAATTTTAATATTGGAAGCAACCGTATGATTAGTACAAATATGATAACTTGTCATTTTATGAGTATTCTATATTTTATTTTGTTATAAATATTAAATAATTAACTCAAATAAGAATTGAGTAATGAGTACGTATTTTTTCGGTTTGGTGTGAGTTTTGCAACACACGTGATAATCAGTTAGATATTTTATGCAAGTTTAGATTTATACTAAGATTTTAGTTTAAGCCAGATATCTAAAAATTACAAAATGCTTTTGTACTGTAGATAATGGCATTTTGGTGGAGTCAAAGGTTATAACTATTTGACGTTGAAGTCAAATTTCAATGTCACCTGACTTAATTGATGCTTGTAACCATGAACGTTTTAAACTACTCAACAGTACTTTTAGCTATTAAAATCTGGTAGTGCATCTTGTTCCGTCTTACTTTAAAACAATAACGATATATTATTACGTATGTTCGTTACACAATCAAGGTGCTCGTCCTAATTATAGTATACGCTATAATATAGTTATTGAAAAGAAATACATTTCCAGCTGTATTGATTACTCGTCTAACAAATTATGAATATGGATCTTCTTTGTTTCGAGGTCATAATTATGATAACACACAACCAATCTCTGCAATTTTATAACAATTTTAAAATTCAACCTAATTCAATAAACGGTTCCACTTGTAGAAAAAAATCGAAAATCAAATTGCATTTAGTTTTGTATTATAAACAAGGCATACAATTACATATAAACTTTCCTACTTCCTTAGCATTTTTTTTCTGATGTGTAACCCACTTATCATTGCCTGTTAACATCAATTTGTAATTACTGTATATAAATATTGAATATACATTATTTTACATAATTTATCTATAAAAAAGGTATCAAAATTACTCCAATCACACGTTATTAACCCACATTTCAAATAATTTATTTTATTTAGTTTAATGCCTTTTGATACTGTCGAAATGCTGTTTGAGTAGCAAATACTTTCAAATAACATAATATTGAAGCTTTTATATATACCTCACGATTCACAAGCACTTCAGTATATGGAATGATATCTATATTTGTCTGTGAAAGCTTTTGTTTTGTAATAGCAGAAGCGTAATGTTATTTTGATACTTTGATTTTGAAAAAGAGTATAAATGTTATATCCATACGTTCTTTTTGTGTCGTACCTCAATCTGCAGACCATTGTACAAGCGTATTATGAATTATTCCGAGAAAATGTTTGATAAAGTTTCCTTTTCGCTGTGCACAACAAGTTCAGATATCTGGTGTCTTGATTGTTAGTAACACTATCCTTTTGATATACATTATCTTATCAAGCTTAAACAAAACTGGTTACAAGTTTGTTGTATAAAAAACTTTTTACAACTCGAAAACACAGAAAAGTATTACTTTTACGAATTTACAGAAAAAATAATTGTGTTCCTTTTTATCGAGAATATCAGGCGATGCGTTCTTAACTTTTTACACGTAAATAAATAGTTTATAATCGGCGTAAATATAATGATAACACTGTTTAATAAGTGACATATAGCAGAATTATTAATTTAAAGTATAAAATTATTTATAGAAGCACTAAATGACTGCAACATTCCATAAAATATAGAGTTTTCTGACGCCCTTTGTTAAGTGATATTGGCGCACTAAAGAATAACAAAGCCGAAAATAATTTTTATCTACCACATCATAAATTTTCGCTGACTAGAATCCTTAAGAAGATAAAGAAATGACACGTTATAAGGCAGCTTAGGGTCGGACGAGAAAATGTAGAATAATGATAAATATGAAGTTGATTCATTGTAAAAGTGATATAGAATGAAAATGTTTCATTGTTTATAGGCGGCTGAAAATATGCCAAAAGTCACGAATCAATATCGGATCCATTTTAGAAGAAAAAAGCCCAACCATTCAAAGGAAATAGATATCAGCATCATAATGATCTCATTTATAAAGATTATATAAATGAGTATGTCTGAATGTTTGTCATATGAATTTATCCTATCTAGTCCTTCTGGCTTATTTGATTTATGGATATCCACTAAAGTAATCATTTTTTATGCGATTATGTAACAATTCATTATGGTAAATTGGTAATTTACAATTCAATCAATATTTAATAAATATATTAATGACTTGATTTTCTATTTTTCTGTATTTCCTTTCAAATAAGATCCGAATTTGACGAAATTATCAATTTTATGTAATATTCATTTTTAACTTAAAGAATTAATCAATAATTAATTCTTTATATTAGTTTTTATTGCGTGTATAAAATTATGTATATATACACATAAGTATTTGTGTATTGATATTTTAACTAATTTCTTTTAAAGAAGTTTTAGCTGTTTACTATAACCTCTCAATCACGGTTAGAGCTTAATCTATTAAACTTGTACATTTAATCATCGACGTAAATTGCTTTTCTACTAACCAAACGATCATAATATCGTTATTGTATAAAAAAATTGTGGTACAATCACAAATCTGAAATATTTCATAATCATTTCATTGCCTAACTGTAGTTATAAACTCATCCTACAGCTTTCGTTCTTATATTAAAAACTAGATATTTTTAATAAGAATGTTAACTTAAGTATCGAAATATTCCTAGATATTTGCATGAATATCTTGTTTAAGTGCTTATAATGCCTAGCGCAGATTTGTTGTTTAGTATATTTTTATATGCCCGAAAGAATTTCGGGCATATTATGTTATACCCCCTGGCGTCCGTCCGTCCGTCCGTCTGTCTATCCGTCCGTCCGTCTGTCCGTCCGTCCGTTAGCAATTTGGTTTCCGGAGCATATCTTAAGTTCCATTTGGCCCACAACATTCAAACTTCATAGGATGATTGTCCATTTTGGGTAGAAGACCCCTATTGATTTTGGGGACACGAGGTCAAAGGTCAAGGTCACTATGACCTTAAAACTGAAAACAGTTTCCGGAGCATAACTTAAGTTCCATTTAGCCCACAGTGTTCAAACTTCATAGGATGATTGTCCATATTGGGTAGAAGACCCCTATTGATTTTGGGGTCACAAGGTCAAAGGTCAAGGTCACTATGACCTTAAAACTGAAAACAGTTTCCGGAGCATAACTTAAGTTCCATTTGGCCGACAGTGTTCAAACTTCATAGGATGATTGTCTACATTCAGTAGAAGACCCCTATGGATTTTGGGGTCACAAGGTCAAAGGTCAAAGTCACTATTACTTTAAAACTGAAAACAGTTTCCAGAGCATAACTTAAGGTCTATTTGTCCCACAATATTCAAACTTCAGAGGATGATTGTCCATATTGGGTAGAACACCCCTATTGATTTTGGGGTCACAATGTCAAAGGTCAAGGTCACTATTACTTTAAAACTGAAATTTTTTTCCAGAACATAACTTAATTTCTATTTGGCCCATAGTGTTGAAACTTCATAGGATGATTGTCCATATTGGGTACAACACCCCTATTGATTTTGGGGTCACAGGGTCAAAGTTCAAGGCAGCTATTACCTCAAAACTAAAAACAGTTTCCAGAGCATAACTGAAGTTCCATTTGGCCCACAATATTCAAACTTTATATAAGGATTGCTATTTGAAGGAGGTAATACTTTATTTAATTTATGTAATGTCTTACAAATGCTTCATCCTTAGTAAAGAAAAAAAAACACTTTCGGGCATATAATGCTCCGCCTAGCGGTGCTCTTGTTCTGAGTTAGTAAGGAACAATGTACACTCTTTATTTTAAAAGCCCAAAATCACTGAATCCTTTAAAATGTACTAATGCAAATTGGTTTTTTTATATGAATAACGATATGTAAGTGGTAAGTTTTGTTCTGTTAGTTCGGTATCTTAATATGTTAATTTAATTAAGGCATCTCCAAACAGATATCTTAGCTCTAAGAGGTAATGTAATACAATGAGGTACTTGACAGATTAAATAAGATTTTTAACCTTTGAAACAAACCAAATATATCTGTGTGCGAATATTATAGAACATACGAATATTTTTAATACAAATTCTGAAACAGATCATTGACATTTTATTTCAATGTTTATACATTACTGTTATGATATGCCGATGTACAATTTGTATTTTGTTCTTTCATTCTTATAGTACAAACTCAAAAATAAAAATATTTTATTTGATAGATGTCAACGGTCAATAACAACATATAATATACATATGAAAAAGCGAATTTGATTGACATGTCATATTAACATATGTATATTAATTGAAGATTAACATAACATAGCACATAATTATTATTTTTGTAAGTGATAATAATTTCGAAGTAAGCAAATGATCATTATCTGAAAGTTTGCGAACAATTAATCGGTCCGGGTCTACAATTAAATTGTACACACACTTGTAAAAGAAGCAAAACAGAGCCAGTCCGGTTATGTTAAAGAACATTAATGGAGTCCCTTTAGATTATTTATTTTCATGACATGGAGATTGGTCTATATATACTCGTAGATAAACAAAACATAGAACACGATTATTCTTTTTTGTAAATGATATCAATTAACCAATTTTCAAAATAACTGAAAAGTTTTTCACTTCGATATTTTGCAAGGCAAATAAAACAATTTATTTACAACTGATATTTGTAAATATGGTAAATATATGTTATTGAATATTAATATTATTATGATTGCATCATTCAGACAATCTATTTTCTCTATATTGTTTTGAAATATGTTTTATAATTGTGATTTTTCATCAGATTAATGTTTCTATTATGGGCCGTTGGATTATAATTCAACCAACTCGGTATTAAAGACTGTCTAGACAGTATAAGTAGCTAGTTTATCATAATGAAGAAGACAGTAAAGTCAGTGACACCTAAGAACGTCTTCGTACATAGACAACAATTGTCTTCAAACTTTAAAAATGGTCGCCGAATATCATATTTCAAAATCATTTCTTTGCCTAACTGCAGTTATAACCTCATCCTACAGCTTTCGTTCTTATATTTAAAACTAAATATTTTTAATATGAATGTTAACTTAAGTAACGAAAGAAAACTTCAACGAAATATTCCTAGATATTTGCATGAATATCTTTTAAAATAAGTGCTTATAATGCCTAGCGCAGGATTGATGTTTGGTATATTTTTCTGTAACAAGTTTAAACCTCGAAAATAGTAAGGAATAAGACACCTAAGAACGTCTTCGTACATAGTGTATTGGTATTTTATTATTTCACATGACATAATATTGAAACATGGGTAGAAAATTAGTCCGATCTGTTACTCTGACTGGATGTATTACATTTTGTCCGCATACAAAAATTAACGCTCAAAGTTGAGCAATGGTATGTTATGTTGTTTATGTAAGTCTAGAATATACACTTATTTGTTACACGATTTGTAAAGGATTGTAATTTTTTTAGTTATTTTGGTAATCTGTCGCAACTTAGTTGGAGATTAGAAAAATTGTTGTTCTTGTTTTTGCAAAATTATTTTATAATAAGACAACAATTGTCTTCAAACTTTAAAAGTGGTCGCCGAATATCAGTGATTTGACATTTGTCCCATGTAAATCATAAGAACATAAGTGAAGATATATCAAGAAAAGAATAATTCTTTTTTTCAAAGTCCAAATTGTTCTTTAAGGAAATTCTTTACACTTTTATAGAACTCTTCCGAAAATATGTAGATATATAATTTTCCTTTTCTTTTCTTAATTATTAAGAATACGTGCTTAAGTAAAATCTTTGAAAACTTTGCAAACAGGGGTCTTATCGACTGATTTTAAAGTGATCATTATTTTTGTAAGCAGACAAAGTGAACGGACAAAACAAAACCCATCTTGAATAGTTATAACATGGTTGTGTATGAAAAAAGAATCTGATTTAATCACACACGTTTTCTATACGATCGGAGAAAACATGTAGATATATAATTTTTCCTTTTCTTTTCTTAATTATTAAGAATACGTGCTGAAGTAAAATCTTTGAAATCTTGCAAACAGGGGTCTTATCTACTGATTTTAAAGTGATCATTATTTGTGTAAGCAGACAAAGCGAACGGACAAAACAAAACCCATCTTGAATTGTTATAACATGGTTGTGTATGAAAAAAAAATCTGATTTAATCACACACGTTTTCTATACGATCGGAGTTCTTTAATATTTCTGGGAAATAATTGTGTAAATGCCAATAAGGACATGTCAAGCGGGGAATACTATGAGGTTTTAGTAATTACAATATAAATATAGTGTATGAAAAACAAACAGTAATGCATTGATGTTGTTTTCATTTTTACAGTCGGTGCATTCATAAGAAGATAAAACACATTTTATACATTTTGAAAAAAAAAACTTTTTGGTAAAGAACCACTACGGAAAAACTATCTGTACTATTGAATAATATGGCCCAATCTATTTTTACAAAGGACCTATTCTATGTTGTATTTGAATCCTGTTTTATACTTGTTCATATAGGTTTCATTACTTGATCCACAAATTTATTTGACTATAATTGGTATAATTGTATAAGATATTTTTGATTAACTTAACCAAATATCAATTCACTGCAATTAAGATACAATATTTGATTTTAAATAACTTTATTTTTAGCAAATATGTTGAAATACTTTGAGAAATTTCAAAGTAATTTAATACTGTTTTGTCCATATTATTTAAATCTTTTAGATTATAAGGATATTTTAGTGTTACAATGTCTTCGTAAATGATTATAAATTTGACAAAAATATGTTAACAAATAGTTCAATCGTTATTTCTGTGATATATACGGCCAATACAAAAAAGATTATCTAAATCTTGAAATACACTTTAAGCATTGCAATAGACTCAGAGATGAAAATATTTGCAACAGAATATGCTCACCAATATATAATACAAATGTGACATTTCTTAATGTAAGCTATCACATACAGTCTTACTCATACAGACATATAACATCACAGAGTCTTCATGCCAGATGTATTTACCTAATGTAACTGACAATTTCTGTCATCTACAGGAAATTGCTATTCCATTTTTGTTGTAGATTATTTCAGATAATGGACATACATCAACTTCCTAAAAAAGAAAGAAAAATAAATACCATTGGTGGCATAAGATATTGTGGGGTTTGGCACATATTATTGCAAGTGAATAATGCTAGACAAACTGGATTGAACTGGTATTGGTATATCACAACGGAATATATTGGGAAATGCCAGATTTAGGAAGTTTCGCAATATCATTTCAATACTTTATTGAACCAAAGCTTCGTGAAAATTGACAATAACTTTTCTTAAGATCCATTATCTTGCAAATGCTGTTAAAAGATTTAATTCAATTTAAATACCATCATATATATTCGTTATAAATAACTTTAAAATTCGCAAATACTTACTGATAAGGACTAAAATGGGCCGATGCGGTAATCAAAGGGACAAGAGGTGCATGGAAAAAGGGGGTTAGAGTAGGAGTCAGGACACAAATGCGAGAGAGGGGAATGAATAGAAAATACTACCGTTTACGAAAAATAACAAGATGAGACATCCCAAAGCCTAAATATGTTTCGATTTGACGAGACAGTGTAAACAAAATGAATCCCTGCTAAGTGGAATCCTAAAAATTGTGATGGTTTCATTAGAAAAAATAAATAAAACACAAAAGTGATCATGTACAAAATGATCACTACAAAAGTAGTCGATGCCTTAAAGGAAGGCAGAGCATATAGAACATCACCTACAATGGCTCGACAAAGCAATACAGAAGACGAAACTAAAAGCAATTTAGCCCGAAAGGCTTAAAGAACTGTCTATATAATTGCAAGTGAATTATGCTAGAGTTTTTGGTTCATCAGATGCAATCAAAAGAGGAAATTGTATCGTCCAAGTTTCAAAGGGTTGAACACTAATTATGTGGTATGTCTTAAAATAATTGGATTATATCCTCGTTTAATAAAACGTCTGATAAATTTAGTGAAGACAGCAGAAAACTTACCATGGCACATGGTCCTACAAAGTTTATGAACCACATCTCCATACAAATCAAGCCTGCTTATTGCTTGTCGTAAATAGTTTTTAAACTTCAATTTAATTTTAAAATTAAATCTGAATTACGATGGTCGAACTTTGCCAATAATAAATAAATTACGATCATTATTCGAAAAGAAAAAAAAAGCTGCTCGTCACTGACATGCAGCATGAAATGTTTTGTTTACTCTAGACAGTTATAAATGATTTATGTTATAATGTTTCCAAAGTTGCCAAATTGTCGATACATTGGTTCAATGTTTAATGTGCGGAAGTCATTTTGATATATAGACACTTTGTTAATATCCATATAATGCAAAGTGTTCGATCCTTACAGATTAGTGCATTACATTTAGAACTTTACCTCCGAAACACGTGTCAATGTTTGTAGTAAATGTATTGATATTCAAATAAAAGGTCACAGTATGGATATATCAACTTTACTTTTTTAAAAAGTGAACATCTAAAAAAGTATATGTCTTAAAAGTGTGTTTTCTGTTTTTCTTTAAAGAAATGCATACATTTTTAAGTAGAAAACTATCGGAAATATGTTTACCTTCCTTCTTTTCTGAATCACTTTTATAACATGTTAAGAAGTCCGAGTCGTGTGATCTGAGTCTATGGTTGTCTTTTACTTAGCAGCAGAAAACAAGGCAAACAGATATCTTGCGGTGACACACAAACAAATGGCTGAAAATGGTAAAAAAATCCA